AACAGCGCTTTTGTAGAAGACGCAATAAATACTCATAATACCACCATCAAAATGGTTTCTGATCAGGTAAAAATGAAGTCATTTATGCCAAAAATCCATGGCTCTCTAGATCTAGGCACTGCATCCAGGAGGTCTAAGCAGTACTAGTGAAATACACTGGTCAAATGCCTATAGCGAACCATAGTGCAGATGCCATGGGAATGGGAACAGAGGCTGAGGAAGTTCAATTTACTTTCAGCAGCAGCACAAAGTTCAGCCAACCACATGTGGCTGCTGTTCCATTTTAAGGGAAGAAGTAATGACTGTTCCTTACCAAATGGAAGGGATGCTATTAGTCACTGGCACCTTCCCAATCCAGTTCTACTCTGCTGTGGGAAGGAAGGAGCCTTTTTCCTAGAAAGGTTTTTTGCACATTTCTGACTAGGCATACTGTTTGAGAAGCCCCGGTACAGAGCCCTCAAAAAAAAATTTACGGTCAGTAGATAGCCACTCTCCTTTCCCTATGTCCATAATCACGTGCACAGAGCAGTTAGTGAATTATTTTCAGTGAAAGCAAAGTGCCTTTTGATGTTATTAAAATAATAAATCACAATACCAGAGATAAGGCCACGAGTTAATGCCACAAGGCTAACAACAGTTAGTGGTATCAGCAGACACTGCTGCACAGGAAGTCCCACCTGAATACGAGGAAGAACCTCTTTACTGTGCAGGTGACCACGCATTGGAACAGATTGCCCAGAGTGGTTGTGGAGTCTCCCTTACTGGAGATATTCAAGAACCATCTGGATGTAATCCTGTACCATGTGCTCTGGGATGACCCTGCTTGAGCGGGGAGGTTGGACCGGAGGACCCAGTGTGGTTCCTTCCAACTTTACCCATTCTGTGAGCTTGTGATATTGAGAAAAGTAAAAAATAGAGTTGCATCAGAGGGGACCAAGTCTGTTTGGGCTAAGCATTGCAATGAAAATTCATACTTCTAAGACACAGGAGGGAGAGATAAGGGATGAGGATCCCCACTACACCAGTATGGAAATGAGAATGATGTCCGAAGGATGTACCAAGGGAAAGAACAGTGTGAAGGATCGTTCTGCCTTCTGAGGCATACCTAAGAGCCCACTGCCACAGCTATGACTGTTCCCAACAAGGAATTGTGTCTTGTTCAGCCCTGGAAAAGCAATGACAGCATGTCTCAGAGATTACGTGAGCTGGGGCAAAATGAAGCCACATGTGGAGATTATGAGCTGTATGAGAAGCCAATGACATTGTTTATGACCCTGACAGCCTTCTGAAGTTGGCTGAGACAGTTCACTGTTCTGGGTTTTCACTTGGATAAGAAGTGGCTGATATCAGTTTAGACTGTCTCAATCACACAGCTAGAAGGATAGCAGAGAAAGACCCTTTCTATGTCAAGGCTGAAGAGGGAAGTCTGGTTATTCCGGTAACACCTCCAAGCAAAGAAATACTGTGAATCATGATTCCTAATAGCTTAGCAGATTGCTGAGCCAGACCACCCTGAAGTGCTTGTGGTAGAACATGAGAAATTCCACCATATGGGTCATTTACCCAGCTGGCTGGCAGAGTCTGTGACAGCTCTTAGTCATCTCACAGCCAGACCCTGAAGAGAGGGCTCCCTTGGCCTCTGCACGGAGATTCTCTAGAAACCAATCAGTGCAGCTGAGTGGCCCAGTCTTGGTCCATTCTAGAATATTTTGAAATCAAGTATTTTATAATGCCTGGTGTGAGCTTCTACACCCTATGACAGAGATTCGAGGAAGAAATACAGTGACAAAAGAAGCTATTTACTGGAAACCCTCTGCAGAAACTCTGGAAATTACTTCTAGTAACATTTAACCCCTGAAGTCAAGATGTATTAATTATTCTTTGTTCCATGCTGGTCTCCAGAGTAAGACTAAGAGCTGGTTTCCCATACAGCTCTGCTGAGTGACTTAGAGAAACAACACAGAGCAACCTACGTCCTAAAGGGAAACAACAACAAAGGAGAGGTAATACCTGTGCTCCCTCAAGGTACTGCTGGATGGCTGTGGAATTCACCAGCCAAGGTTTGCAACACTTTTCCATGTCAGAACTGTGTGAGAGGTTTGGAGATGGTTAAAGAAACTTCAGAAGAGGTATTCTGAGATATGCACCAGTACTGAATATGAAGACTGATCTCCACTGTCATGGGATGTGCCACTGACATCCTGGAGCAAGTCTTAATCACTTCTTTCAGAGGAACAGAAGTGCAGAAAGGAAGGAGTCGACTAACAGTTATACATGAAGCCCTTCTACCTCTCTTTAGACCCCTCTCTTTTTCATAGACTTGTTAGACAGGCATTCTCTGGTGCTCTCTTGTCTTCTCTGGCTTCAGTTCCAGCAGTCTCAGGTATATTTGTGTGCATTTTCACAATGTTACTCTTTTACTTAAACCATCACTGGTAGGCTGGAGAGGCAGTGATAAGAGCAGGTGGATCAGGTATCCAGTGACATCTTGTTTGGCTCAGGTATCCTTATTCTGGGCATCCCGTCATGGTTCTGGAATAGGTCTTTTTAGCACAAAGGTCATCCCACATATTTTCCCTCTTATTGCCTTAATTAATATCCAAGAAGCTGCTTTCCAAGATAAAGACAACATCATCAAAGAGCCCTTTCCATGGCAAGAGAATGCCTATTTATGTGTCTGATCACCTTGTAAATGGATGTTGCAGGAAATGAGATCTTCACAGAATCAGAATGAAAAGCTTCATAAGGGAGACATCATGAATGGCCAAGGCCAGCAGGCAAAAGAAAGAGGGTGACCCCCCCATGAGTACTCCATTGTCCATCCCTGTTTCATGAGGTGCAGCATCATTTCAGGACACATTTCAGATGTTTCTGCTACACTGTCCCGGACCAGAATAAATCATGCCTGTTCCAGGCATGGAGAGTTCTGTAGAGTTTGGTAAAGGGCTATGTTGTACAAGCCAAAGATAATATTGTCTATGCAAGTACTTTCTGCTTCCTTTGGGGTTTTGCTGTGTTTTCGTGTTTGCACACAGCTGCAGTGGGCATAATCAACATCTATTTAGAAATGGTGTGGCTGTGGACAGTGACTGATGAGGAAAGGAGACAAGGCCAGACAGACATCAATGAGATAAATGGTGTTCGTGCACACATACATGTGAGTTTGGCCATCCAGAAGTAGAGAGACTAGCCAGAGTTGTCTTTGTTTCTCACACAGGTGACTTCCTAGCAGATTTGAGCCACTTGGTAGTACTGGTGTTGCTATTTGTCTAGTAGGTTAGAGCAGGGCCACTGGATCAGGATGAAGAGGATGTGACTGAACTCAGGACAGGTATTTACTTTCAACATGTTGCAAGTTGTTTAAACTTACCAAGTCAATGGAGATCTAGTCAATACAGGGAATGCACCCCGAAGAGCAATCCAGCAGACCAGCCATGGCATGAAACACTCAATTGCCCAAATAGAGACATACAGACATCCAAGACAGCCCCATGACGCTGGCAAATATGGCACAAGACCTACACAAGATCCTCCTTTCTGGAGTGAAGTTTGGAGACCAGAACCTTTGTTTAGGTGACGAATCCCAGCTGGTGTGTGTAGGGTGACTGGATCCCTCTCTAACTGCCAGTGATTACCCCAACAAGATTTCAATTTGCCATAGTGAAAACTTAAGCAAACTAGAGCACATATAGGCGTTTCCTTTCCTAAATGTGTCTTGGCTTTGAACTGAATCCCAGCCAGGCTGTCAGCACAGACCAGTGGAGGAGGGAAGGACAGCCAAAGAGGGTGTGAAAAGGAGGGAAGGAAACACAACTCCAGATTTTTCTAGTGCGGAGCTCACGTCATTAGTGATTCCCCTGGTGTGGGGTGGGAAGTGCACAGTGCACTTCAGGGGAAAACCTAGATTCTTGTTTTAATTCAAGTCACGTATGGGAGCACCAGGACAGTGGAGCATAGCCATCATGGAAGAAAATACAGGTTCATTCACTTTCCAGCCATCTGAGGAAACAAACAGATCAATGAGTTCAGATTCCATTCTGTGGACTTCGGGTACCCAGGAAACTGGGGCATGACATCACCCAGCAGAAAGGAGACAGTGGCTTGTACAGCCTCTGTAATACCCTAAGAAACTGTCACTTCTCTGCACAGTGGGTAAGCTTCTGTTTTTAAGAAAAAAAGTGACTGCTTACAATGTGTGATTGTCCAGAAGTGACAAGGAAGAGCATGGAAATGACAGCACTTCAAAAACTAGCTTTGAAAAAATTCTTTCTTCAGATAGTTTTGGCATTTAGTAGCGGAAGATGATATGAATGCATGACTTAAAGGAACAGGTGGGGCCTCTAGTTAGTTTGATTTACCCAAGTGATAGCCACCCCAGCCATACCCCTAACGAGTTGTTTATTTAAGGCATTGGCGGATTTTCCCCTCAGTGGGCATGTGCCAAACCACAACTAAAAGCTTCGCATTTAACCACGGAAAGGAAATATTGAAAGCAATTCATGAGTCTACACTAAAATCACCAGAGCTATAATTAAATCAACTCTTAAAGTAGCGTAACTCTTTTTATGGCTGAAATAGCAGTCTTTATTTTAAGCATCGTTGGAGAAAGAAGAGAAGAGAGGCAAACATTTCCATGTGAAAGCTTGGAAACTCCTTTCAGTGTACTAAACATTCACCAAGGCTTCCTGTGAGTATTGGAGTTTGTCCTTTTGCTGCTAGCTGGATTTTCATCTCATTTGACCTCCAGCAGCCGGCTGAAAGCCCGACAGCAGCTGTCTTCGGGTGAAGGACATCGGTGGTGCAGACGGGAGGGACAGCGGGGGCTGGAACGTGCGCGGGCGCAGGACGCTGCCTGGGGCCCGGAGAGCCCTGAGGACGGGCGGAACACAGCCGGCAGCCCCGGGCAGCCGCCCCAAGTCCTCGCACACGCCCAGCAGATGCGGAGCACCTGCGGCTGCCGCACCCGACGGGCGGGCAGCGCTTTGCCGCGGGCGGGTCAGGGCCGGCGGCTCCCCGGGGCGGCGCGCAGCCTGCGCGGTGCCCCCGGCGGCTCGCCCGCTCCCCGCCTCGAAAAAGCGGCGCGTCCCGTCCTTCCTTCCCCGCCGCGGCCGCCCCCTCTCCGGTCCCGCGGAGCGGCGCGCAGCCCTCGCATCATGGCGGGGCGTGCGGACGCGCTGTGGCTGTCCCCGTGGCTGTGGCTGTGGCTGTGCACGGCGGGGCTGTGCGCGGCGGCGGAGCTGCGACTGACCCTGTTGCACACCAACGACGTGCACGGGCGGGTGGAGGCGCAGGGCGCGGGGCCGCGGCGCTGTGCGGGGGATGCCCCGGGATGCTTCGGCGGCGTGGCGCGGAGAGCGGCGAGGGTGGCGGCGGAGCGGGCCGCGCACCCCAACGTGCTGCTGCTGGACGCCGGGGACCAGTACCAGGGCACGGTGTGGTTCTCCCGCTTCAAGGGCCGGGAGGCGGTCCACTTCATGAACCTCCTGCGCTACGATGCCATGGTAAAGCGGGCCGGGGGACGGTGAGTGGTGCGGTTGGGGGGGGGGGGGCTGCTCCCTCCTTTCCCTTGGGTGCTGGGTCTGTTCCTGCCTTTCCTCCCCCGCTGCCGGTTTTTTGCATTGCCGCCTCTTTGAACGCCTAATGCTGCATCAGAAAATTCTGTAGGTCATGCTAAAATCGTGGCCAAAGGCATCGAGGAGGTAAGCGAGAAGAAGGGAAGTGATGTGCTAGGTGATGGGCTCCCGGCCGAATTAAGTCGTGAGCTGAAAGTCTCACAGGCAGCCACAAACCGGGAGGTGATGACAAGGCTACGCAGAGTGTTGTCTCTTGGGAGAGACAGGGGCTTGGGACAGGCAGGGGGCTGGACAGGGTCTGTTGGGGAGGGGTTGACAAAACGCGGGAATGACCCCAGGAAAAGCCAGGCGAGAAGTCTGATCTTTGGTGGAGGAGTTAACCCTGCCTGAGGCTCGCAGCCTGTCCGGCTTCCGTCTGGTGGGGAGGGACAGATGGCACATACTGGCAGTGCTGTTTCAAAGGGTGAGGATTTTTAGTTTTCATCAGTCCCTGGTGTCCAGTCCCACCAGAGCTGTGGTCATGACAGGGTGTAAGCAAGTGGCTCAGAGACTGTAACAGGGCATCGGTGAGGGAGCTCTCTGAGGCTGTGCCAGTCCTGTATCTTTGCTCTGGTCCAAGTGCTGAGAGAAAGGTAGAATTTGAGACTGAGATTGGAGGGTGTCACTCCATGGCCTTAAATCTTTTGTCTCAGGGCAGTAGCTTATTTTGCTTGTGTACAACCCCAGAGAGGAGGTGAGAGATTAAAGTTATGTTTGAGAGTGACTGCATTGTAGGGAAAATCTTCTGGGCATATCAGATTCTCTGTCTTCACCTTTTTTTTGCTTTCTATGGAAAGGACTGCACTTTCCCAGGTAAAAATGACTTCACGTGTTTCTTCTTTCTGCCTCAGAACAGCTATGGAAGGGAAAAGCATGCCCCAGTGCACTTTCCTAGGCCAAACATGCTTCATACCAGACAGACAGGTCTGTGAAGGGTACTGCTCCCTGTTCACGTGGCCTAATGAACGGGTTTTTAATTGTAAATATAACATTAGCAGGGTTTTTCCTCCAAATGGTGATGGGGAGGAGTATGTGCATTTAGGACTCATCCTCACCAAGAGCTGGGAAGCACTTTATGATTCTGCAGTGTAGAAATAGCTTGAGGTGTTTTTTCCTACATTTCTTCCCAAACCTTTCTGCTGTCTGTCATTTCTCAGCCTTGTGTGTGCTGGTTTAACTGGTTCATGGGCAGCCTGCGAGCCTGTACAGTTTGTGATCATGTCAAAAGAAGAAATTCTTTCAGGCAAAATCAGCAGTGTTGAAATAGTGTTCAGTTTTAGAAACACATTATGTAGGATGCATCTGGTTTAGGATAGACCATGAGCTTTTTCATCAGAATAAGCTTTAAAAATAAACCCACACCATACTAGATAGCCAGAGGCTTGTGCTGGATGCTAATGCCTTAGGTGAAGTAGTCAGCCACTTGTTCTCTGTGGAGCTGCTGCTTATTATAACTTGAATAGAAGGGGACAGGATAAATTCTGTCATAAGCTATAGAAACTTAAGCACCTTTCTCTGCTACCAAAGAGCCTGAGGACAGATGCTGAGTGTTGAGCAGTGCTACAGGATTTGTTTGGATTCTTTTGTCTGCAGACCGTGGTGGCTGAGGGGACATAGGGAGCAAAGTAAGAGCCACGCTGCAGAAGGGTGAGCTAGTGTTTCTTTAAGCAAAATTTGGTAAGTCACATCCCTAACAGAAGGGGTGGGGATTACAAAAGTATTTGGAAGTGAGATACAGGAGTAGGATTACAAACAGGATGAAGGAGGGAGCATGAATCATAAAAGTTGCTACAGGTTGCAGGCAGGAGCCATAGGACGATTTATGGCAGCCTGGAAGTGTTAGAGGTTTGCTCCACAAACAGGACAAATTTCCTTTTTTAATTTTGCCTTTTTCTCATTTATGCCTGTTATCACCTCCAGCCTGTTTTCTCCTGTTTAGCTAGTTATTGCCTTCCAAAATTTTTCTTGGCACTAGCCTTGTTTTCTGGTATAATTAAGACTAAAATCCAATTTAAATACCTCAAAGGCAGTAACTGGAGGGATGATGGAAGTCTTCTAGCTTTACTTTTAAGTTACACCTTCTGTTAATTTGTATCCTGATTTAGAAATATTTTGAGGTTTGCTTCTTGTGAAAAGGAGGATTATATAATCACATGCTATGTTCCTGAATATTTCTCTTTAGTCCCCCTTGTGACTTACATTGACCAACAAATTCAGATCTGGTGAAGGGATATTGCACAGGTACAGAATCCAAGAAGCTCTGGGTGTAAGGATAGTTAGGTAGAGTTTAGGAACCCAAAATGATCCACAACCTCCTCCCCAAAGGATGAGTTGCATCAAAAATAAAACTATATTATTAGCCACCAGTGATTTCTCATGAACAAGAGACTTTATAACCACCTACACCATGGGAAAACTTTGGATCAAAGCTTGTATCCTAATGGACATGAAATAATCCAAATGCAAGATACAAAGCCAAGAGAAACAAAGCTTCGTAAGTTGGTTGGGTTGTTTGGTTTTTCTCTCCAAAAAAACTAGTGGCAGTTATATCTAATTCTATTTCTTAATCAATTTGCAATCTTTTTGGTTGGGGTTTAATTGTATATTTAGGAGGACCAGAAGGCATGTGCATCAGCCAAAAGGAAATAGCTTGTTACCATTTTGATATGCTCTACCTGTCCATGGATATCTTTTCAGAACGTCCAGACAGCATTAAAATGAGTGTCATTCTTTTTTCTTTTTCCTAATTTGTATTTTTAACAGCAAATTAGATTGCAATTAGAATACAGTTAGAAATGGAATGTAGTTGGAGAGCATTGTGTCTTCCCAAGTCAGGATTTTCTTGAAGATAGTTCTTGGTTCTTTTGGAAAAGTGCTGCAGCAGCATGCAAACAATTTGGCTCTTTCCCTGGGGTTTGAGTAGTGTTCTCACTAGCTGTCAGCAGGAGCAGTTGATTTCCAATGCAAGCTACTGCTGATACTGATTTTTTTCCACAGGGCCATTAACTAGCTGCCTGTGAGGATAAAAGGAGTCGTGAGTCTTTGGCAGTGTCTTTCTTTTGGGAGAGACAATCAGTTGATCGAAATACTGAGCTTCCTTGCCTGTAGTTGCCTCAGGGTTCTAGTTGGATTGGGCTTAATATATCCACTTGGTGAATAAAAGTTTGAGCAAGCATGCAGAGGTTGTTTACCTAAGTAGAACAGAACAGTATACAAGCCTTAGATGATGAATGCAACCTTCCCAACTTAATCTCAGAGTGAAATTCTGAGCACATTTTTGCCTGGAAGAGTTGGCACATTGGCTTTAACAGCTCTTGTATGCTTTTCTCCAGCTGCCGCCTGAAAACTTGTATAGTTATTCTGTACCAAGTTACACTGTTATAATGTTTCTGTAGAGATATCTTTTCATCTTTTCCTTCACTAACACCTAAATATGCTACAAAGTCCTTGAGTGTATTGTGCTTCTGCAAAATGGAGGTTTTGCTGGCTTATCACCTAACTTGCGGGCACAGGCATGTGGCAACTTAGGCTGAGCATGAAAAAGGGGCAGCTAGGAGAAATTTCCCTCAAGATAAGTCCCTTTTCATCTGCTTAACCAGCCTGGAACAACTAAATATTCTCATCTGGCTGACACTACCTTGCTAAGAAATAAACTGGACTGCTCGTTTTCTGTGACAGTCTTGGCACTTCACAGTGCTACGTATGCACCTGCCTGTGTGCACACACACCCACTGTGGATTTCTCCCTGACTGATAAATGTTAGAGCTTCCAGTACGTAATGATGTTGATGATATTGAAGTGGTATTTTCTTGTTCCATGTTAATGAACAGAAGAACCTTTACTAAATGCATAGTAAATGTGTTTTAAAAACCATAGTCCAAGCACAAAACTCTTAAAACGCACTTTTACTTAAAGATAACAAAATAGTGTAATCGACATTTAACATCTCCTTCGGCATTTAAACAATGTATTTTCCATACACAAAATACATGTTTTCCTTTGTGGTTATTGTTAATCCTCTTTCTTGCATCTACAGGATGAAAAACTAGTGGGTTTTAATCTGGTACATGGTTACAAACACTTAGGTAGGTTTTAGATTTTGACTGTATTGATGTAAGAGAGTCTTCAAAGCAAAAACCTAAATCTAAAATATATATAGCATTTCTGTGTTCATGAGAAACAAGACTGTGCTGGTTTAGACAAGTTAGCGTTTTCTTCCCTAGAAATAGACTTTGTTTTCTCAAATATACCTTGTATACAATTTATGAGACTATTTAGACTGAATATTTGAGGTAGGGTCTCATACTTTCTTCTTGCTTTTTTCAGGCTTTGGGTAACCATGAGTTCGATGAAGGTGTGAGTGGATTATTGGATCCTCTTCTTAAAAATGCTAATTTTACAGTCCTGAGTGGAAATATTAAAGGGAAAACTCCATTAGGGAATGAAATGATGAAATATGTTCATCCTTTTAAAATAGTTCATTTTGACTCAGAATCAGTAGGAATTGTTGGCTACACTACACAGGAAACTTCTTTTCTTTCACAGCCAGGTATGTTTCCTTTAGTATGTGTTTAAATCCTTTGTTACTGTTTTGTTACTTGCCCACTTTTTTGAATCCAAAGATGAATGTTTTCAGCTGAAAAGTGAGAAGTTTGTTGTTTTATCAGTATTTACTTGTATTACTCAACTTTACCTGATTTTTAACCTCAAGAAAGCTTGTTAACATTAATAGCCATTTTCATATAGACCTGGATAAAATAAAAGAAGGTCAATGAGAAGGTCTAAGAATAAAAGAAGGTCAATGAGATTGCAAGAGAGCTGTGAGGCCTTTGGGGGTTTTATTGTTTTTTGGGTTTTTAAAGTTATATTCTATGATATTTTGTTGTTATTTATCCATTTAAACAAAAACTAAGACATGAATACAGCTTGTCTCTAGCGTGAGATGCGACATTTCTCTCTGTGTTGAAATTTTGCTCTTGGATACCTCCATGCCCCTATTAAAAACAAGGAGAGCTTCATGTGTGTTTTTGAAGCAAAAGTTGCCCAAGATGTTTTTAGACTCTCAAAATATTTGCAGGCATTAGACTACAGAAGGAACACCCATTCAGCTTTTACCACAATTGCTTCATTCATGAGTAAAATTAGAACTGATGAGGAAAAAGACTTCTCAATTTCTAACTATTTTTTTCCAACATTTCGGGGGTTTTGGTTTGATGAGGGTTTTGTTTGGGTTTGTTTTGGGTTTTTTTTTAGTAAAATAAAACGATCTACTGGAATGAGAAACACATTTAATTCAGCTGTAGGAGATATGAGTCACTGCCTGCTCAAAGCTCAGCCCCCTCTGACAAAAACAGACTTTCTTCCCTGGGTTTTGCAGTATGGATGCCCTAAGCACTGGTTTAAAACATTTTCACAGCAAAAAGGGACTTCATATTATTATTTCTCTTTCCATGTCTTAATAATACAGAAGTAGTGCATGGTTTTCCTGACAAAAGGAATGTTCAATACTTTGAGGAAATATTAAAATATAAAACTGTTCCTTCTGTGCTTTTTAGTTCCAATGTTGTATGTTTAAACTGTCAAGAAGTGGATGTCTGAGATCTGAATAGAATTCTTTATCTCACTTCTATTTTGCAGCAATATGGTTTTGTGTTCCTACTTTTTTTTCCCTCTCTGATAAAAAAAGAAAATTGATCTGTATTTTGTGTAGGCAATAGAATTTCACCTGTACTTGAGGGCATGAGGGTAGATATCATCTGACACCACACTAAGTTTGAATGATAGACAGCCAGTATAGTCCTTCATCAGGGATTAATAAAATGTATTGCTACCCTTCTTCCAAGCAACTCTGTTGGTGTGGTGATATCATCAAATTAACTTTCTTGCAGGTAAATATACTACTTGAAAATCCAGAGTAATTCTATGAAGCTTTTGAAGATATTTCCAGTAACATTTAGACATCATATCCAATGCCTCAGTATGCTGAGACATTGTAATGGAGATCACAGCTAGAAAAAAAGCAGTATTAAAAGGGAAGGCTTGTTAGCTCCATAGATGGAGCTGAAACATCCCTAAGCTAAGTATATCCCACTGTGTAACTGAGCAACAAGCAGAGCAAATTCTAACAGCAACAGTTATAGTGATCAGAGTTTTTATAATCTTCTGCTTTGCCTTCTCAGTGTGTGGAGGAACATTTTGGAAGATCTGAAAAGGTGAATTCAGGATATGTTAATGTAGCTCAGTGACTATATATCACCCATGACCTAGCAATCCTTCAGACTGATAAAATCATGTCAGAGGTGGGTCAGTGGCTAAATAATTATCAACCTAGTTCCTTAATTCAATTAATAAGAGATGTGAATTTTAAATTCAGCACCTTGCTTATCTCTACGCACTTCTACAGCCTTTGTCTACTTTGGCATGCTGTACACTCTCTAGGGCATTCTCAAGGCAAACAGGAAGCTTGAAAATGCTGAAACATGTGAATTCTTACATTATGACTTTCCATGGAAGTATTTTGTGACTGATTTCTTCTATTGTTAAATCTTGATAACTTTCACACAACTATGAAATTGGAACTTGTACTTTTCGTAGTCTGATGAAAACAGTTATCAAAAGACTTGAACAAAGTCCTTAAATCTCAGTTTTTCTATTGGGAAGGAACAATTAGTCTCTGCTTAAGGGTAGCGTTAATGTTACTTTTGGAAACCATAGGGGTGGGAAACGCATTTATAGATTGCAGCCAACTGGCAGTTTATCTGAAGTTCTCTGTTTTGCTACATATAGCTATCTCAGCTGAATACCCAGCCAGTTTTTCCATGTCCTGCAAGAGTTGTGCATAACTTGGCACATAGACAGAGCTGTCTATGTTTTTGCTCTGCACTGGTAATCTCAAGACAATCTTTCTAGTATTTGATGATAGCAGCTCACTTCCTTTAGTTCTGCAATGCTGTTTGGTCCACCCTCTTCTTGTAAAAGGTTGAAACCAAGAGCTGCTTACTCTGTTACCCTAAGGACAGCAAAATATTTACTAAAGCTATCAACTTGGCAGAGTTTTCAAAAACTGAGTTTTAAATTCCATTTATTCCACTTTATTCTGGTTATCTTGCGTAATTTTTTAACATGCAGCCAATTCTTTTTCTTTGTTCATTTGTAGCACAGTTTGGATGCTTTTTCTGAAACTCTACCTCATCTAAAAAGAGAAGAGGATGTAACATCAATTTAATACCTTGAAAGAGAAGTGGAATATTAACGTGAGCAATAACTAACTCTTAAATAAGTTAGTTATTTCAATTCAGATTGTTTTGAAAAATGCACAGATGACTGTTAAACAGTATATTGCTTTCTTAGAGAATTGAGAACTGTGTAATTACTCTTACAGTCTCCTGCTGTATAACTGTGGAACCTACTCGCCCATTTCATCCAGTTACATCAAGTGCTGAGATGATTAGGATACAAAGCTGTGTGAAATGCTATGGCTAACTCACAGAGAGGGGATGCAAGGAGTCCCTGTGGCCCCAAGCAGAATTCCCTTTTTGAGGGCAAGGTGGACAGCAGACAATTGGTGGGAGGGTGGTTTGGCAGTGGGACTGGGACGACCCACTGCAGCTCTGGTCTGCCTGTGTCCTGCCATAACAGTCCTGGGAGAGAGACAGGCTTATTGGCATGGGAGAGGCCTTGTTTTTCCCCCTCGTTATGAAAGTAGGTTGGTTTGTTTTGACATGTTTTCTCTACAACTACTGAAAGGAGGGTGTAGCAAGATGGAGAATAGTCTCTTCTCCTAAATAACAAGTGACAGGACAAGAGGAAATGACCTCAAGTTGCACACAAGGATGTACAAACTGGGGCTGAAGCCAGGGGTCTCCTTCAGGCAGGAGAAAGAAGACTAGGAGAGAACCAAATGCAGTCTTCCACTGGCATGAGGGGGTTTATGGAGAAGACAGGGACAGACTCTTCACAGAGGGGAATAGAAAGGACAAGAAACAATGGGCTCAAGTAATACCACAGGAAATTATGATGGGACATAAGGAAAAAATTTGTCATGGTAAGCGCAGTTAAGCCATTAAACAGGTTGCCCAGAGAGACTGTGGAATTCCAGCTTGCTTGGATGAGACGCTGAGCATCCTCATCTGGCTTTGAGTTCATGTTTTGAGTGAGTTTTGGACTACATGGCCCCAGGAGGTTCTTTCCAACCTCAATTAACTTATGACTCTTTAATTCTAAGAAGAGGTCCACAGGAAGAAAATGTGGGGATGCACCACACAATTCACTCTGCAATGTGCAGTACAGATATTCCCTCTGGCAGTAACAGAACTATTCAATGGGTGTGGTGGTGAACCAATTTATGTAACCCTCTTTTATCTCTTCCATTGTAGCAGCTTCCTCCTCATTTCCTGAGTCATTTTGCAGTGGATTGCGAATTTGTTTCACTTCTCCCTTTGTTATGTAAATCTTTTGACTTTTAAGGCATATTTCAAATGGTTTGATCAAAAAATTCTGCAGGAAGGAGAGGAATTAGGTAGAGGAGAAGTTGGTAGAAATGTTTCTCACTTGTTTTCAGCGGAAAGTTTAAGTTTACAGTTGGTTGACTCTGTTCTTAAACTCTATTCTTAAAACTTTGTCAAAGAAATTAGCTTCTTACATAGGAAATCTTTTTGTGCAAACCAAAACACTGTGCCCAGGATAAAAGCACCTGCTCATCTAGTGCTCGTGTAACTGTTTGTCATGTTAGAATAATTTCAGCATGCACAGAAACCTTCCAGAAAGATTGAGAGTCTCCCAACACTGTGGTCTGGAAAAGGTCTCTCCTTTCCGGACTTTCTGTTCTTTTTGTTGTCGTTTGAGGATGGTGTTTCAGATTATGTGCTGTGCTGTATTGGTATTACTGAGAGTGGTTCACATTAGGCAAGATAATTTGTATAAAAAGGCAATTCAGAGTTTAGTGGAGAACTTTGAAGAAGCTGCTGTTTAAAGCCTCAGGGACAGGGGATAAGGGAAAGAACAAAATGAGTGTGGAGTAAAAAGAAAGAGAGATTTAACTTGGGATAAGATAGAAGATCTCAAAGAAATGCAGTTTGGGAAGAAAAAAACTTTTATAATAGAATACAATGTTAATGTGCAAACACTGACATAGTTTCCTTTTTCTACTCAAATAATAAAAGCCATAAAATTTTTGATCCTATATTTGGTGTCACTGAATTTCTCATGGAATTACAACTTATTTAGTCTATGCAAGTACATACAGCTTGGGGCAGGAATGTTGTGTTAAGTCTAAGCACACAGGTGCTCCTGAAAGACTCAAGAACATCAGATCAGGAGTTTGAACCAACTAAGGACATTTGAAAGCCACTGACATTCAAAGTTCCATTAATTATGCAAACTATTATTTGATATAAAATACTTTTTTTTTAACTAGTAATTGAGGTACTTTATAATTCTTCTTTTTTTTAAGGGGATGATATAATCTTTGAAGATGAAATTGAAGCATTGCAAGTGCAAGTGAATAAGCTTACTGCTATGGGAGTGAACAAAATAATTGCACTAGGACATTCTGGTTTTACCGTGGACAAAAATATTGCCCAAAAAGTGAAAGGAGTGGATGTTGTGATTGGAGGACATACAAACACGTTTCTTTACACAGGTATTTTACTTCTTACTAAAATGTTGCTTCTAAAGCAAAGCTGAAACTGTTTCTCTTTAAACTCTGAGAACTTTCACCAATATTGTTTACTGCTGGCTGCAGTCAGCCAGATTCATAGCTGGTACATATCCATAACTTCCATGGAAGAAACAAATTCAAAACAGTCTGTGCACACAAAGTACCATAACTCACTGAAAGGTTCCTTAATGCTGTGGATGTTCAAAGTGAACTATACAAAGTGTGACAGAGGAGCAAAGGTAGTAACACTGCTAAACATACTGTACCTGTTTCAAGCTCACACCTATAATGGACTAAATAAGATGTCTATTTTTAAACTTGTATTTGACTTAACCTGAAAAATCAATCTTAAAAGATTTCCAAAATGGTACCAACATCAGTTTTGTCTAGAATCTGATTCTATATTCATAGGTCTCCGTTACCTTGCCATTAAAACACTTTTCCCAAGTTTCCTCTGTACATTTCAGTCCCTCTTTTAATCTCTGAACTTATTCTCCTTTTCTCTAGAGGTAGATGTTATTCTAGAGATAAACATTGCTGTCTGATTTCTCCTACAGTAATGCTACTTTAGGTGAAACCTGTAATCAGCAACTTCCCCAGCACTGCTGCCTTCCCTGTGCCAGTGTGTAAGGACACAAGTACTGTTTTGTTGTTCTGTTTGCTTCAGTTTTTTAAGTTCATTAAATTTAGCAGAAACTTCAATAACTGATTGAGACTATAATGGGAACCTTCTGTAATTTTCAGAAAAATTTCCCAGGGAATAGCACCATGTACCCTAGGAACTTAAACACTTAAAATGTTTGCACTGTCCATTATCCTCTCCTCTCCCTATTCATCTCCTCTCTGTTTCTCATGCCTTTTTTGTCTCATCTGGGCTCTCACCTTTTGTTATCCCACCTGTTAAAAAGAAACAATTGCATGCCACAGTTATACATTAAGCAGATCAGAATACCTCTTTAATTTGACCTCAGGGAATAACCTTGATGACTAAGCTGAAGGCACAAAGCATTTACACACCTACCTACAAGTAAGAGGTCACAAACACTTTGCATGGGGGTGCAGCAGAGAAGTGGCCAAACTGGAACACAACAGGACTGACCATCCTGATATCTTGTCTCTAAGAGTGACCAAAGGGGAAGGGTGAGGGGACTGGCCAAGGCTGTGGAGATACTTTACTCAGATCTGCCCCCACTTCCCACCAGCTTGCATCTTGAGGACTCCCTAAGACAGAAGTGGTATCTTAATATTTACTAGCTCCACTGAAACTTTTCTTTCCTGAACTTGCCCCATCTCCTCCTAACTACATTTAACCTTCACAACAGCCTGTGGCAGGGCATTCCACCACTGACTTGCACATCCTGCAGAGACCATCTGTGTGCAGTCTGCAATTTTACCGAACTATTTTTGAGATGGGAAAACCAAGGATACATGCCATATTTGAAGTGTACATTCATTGTGGATTTACACAGTGGAATTTTTGGCCAATGCCTGTTGAGAGTTTATGCCTCATAGTGGTAGCCATAGTGGGTGTGGTCCAAAGAGGTGGCACTTGCCACAATTTGGAAATTGATCTGAAGTGCTCCAGGAGTTATCTGAGTTCATATCCTGTCTAGATCTGTAGTTCACATCTCTTGTCATCCCAGAGAGTACCCTGTTGTCAGACTGGACTAGGTCAAGCTGTAACATCCCCCCACCTTTGAAGCTGTCCAAGATTCACAAGGCCAGAGAGAGCACACAGCATGAGACTCTGGAGCCTTTCGGGATAAAGAGCTCAGCTGGGAGTGAGTTCTGGTCCCTTTTCCAAGGGCTCTACTGTTTTGATAAAACAAGACTGTCTTACTTTTTTTATTAATACTGGCAAGGTAAGAAAAATAAAAAGGAATTAATGTCTGGGGGAGATACACCAAAAAAATATATATATATATTTATTTTTTGTCAAAATATGATTTTTGATAGAAAGTGATCTGAGCATATAATTTTTATTCCAAGTGCTGTGAGGCACATGCTAATCCATTCAGGAGCATCATGAGTGCATTTGTGAACCATTCCCTGCTGAGTCAAAGCCATTAGCCGACATTCACAGTGGAATAGCTGTGTCTGTGGAGGTGATTTCCCTGCAGAGTAAAACACTTAAATTGAAGTGTCTCTATATGTGTGTATATTAAGCCTATAAGCTCTCATTTAAGTCAAGAGGTGTAATCGATAACTGGCAGTAGAATTTAGGAGGGTGTTTCAGCTTAGTCTAAGTGGAGATGTACCAGCTGGTCAGCTGAATGTCAGCTGAATGTCTGTCGTGGAGGTTTAGAGACGTATTGCCTATGACAATTTATTACCTCCACAGAAATATCTTAATGTAAGGGCTTAATGTTGGACTAGTCCAACCTGTCTGTAAGACATTTGCCAATCTCTGGTTTATCCTCAGATTATATGGCAAATGTTGTCTTGACTTGTTCAGGTGTGCCAACACTGGGTTTGTAGAACTTGTTCAAACAGTAATGGTAGTTTTGGGTTGGAGCAGTTTAATTTCTGGTTTTGATCAGAATGGATGCTCTGAAAATGCAGTGTGTTGGCTAAAGCAGGGTAAGAAGTTAGAAAAGTGTTACAGGTTCTTCTGTTACCCAGCATGAGTTTGTGCATTTGTAATGAAACAGCACCTCACGCTTTGACTGACATGGGTGCATGAATTCTAGTGCTGTGTTCTTCAGGGATAAGAGTCACTGAAAGGTCTTTGCATTTCAGAAGAAATATATCTATCTTACAATGGAATAATGTCACAGTGGTAATTAATGCTGCAAGGAAGTATCAGTATTAGAAATTATTTCAGAAAGCAAGAAATGAGTAAGGGTCTGGACAAGCACTTTACCATGCAGAGCTGATGTAAACTAAAATGATGACCAGAAACAGTAACTTTCTCTTTTAATGCTTTGCTCATTAGATGGCTACAGAATGGCAAGAGATCCAAACCAGTTCCTTTTTCAGTTCCAAAAACCCCAAAGGCACATTTGCATGCATAAAGCCTGTAGAGTTCTCATTAGCTACAGGTTTTCTTAAATTCTTCCCAAAATAAATGAATAATTAAGTGGTTCCACCACTGTTGTCCAGGCTGAAAGTAGGAAAACTAGTTCTGTGGTAACTTTGGTTCAGCTTGCAGTTTACTACAGCCGTTCTCCCTGGACACAAGGAGGGATTAGAGCAAAATATGAATCATATTGGAGTTCTTGAAGGAACATTTGTCATGCTGCTTATCTTAGGATTTCATATTACATAAATTACTGTAAATCGAAGGAAACAAGTTGTTCTGTGAGCAGTGGAAGTAAGGACCCTGCTTTCCTCTGGATCCACATTTTCTACGCCTGCTCCGCCACGCTGCCACCCCACTGGCACTCCAGCTTTCACCAGCAAATGGATGGGAAATGCCACCAACTTTGGGACAGGAGGAAGCAACAGGCTTTGAGAGGGCTCTGTAGTGGGGCCTGCCATGCAGCACGTGATGCCTCTCAGAGCTGCCCAACCTTGGTTCTTCCCTGATAGTGGGGTAGGAATAACAGGAGGGAGAGATACCACTCAGATTTTACTGTCAAGGAGACAGGGAGAAGGCTGGTACCCTTGAGACAAGAGCTGTACTGTGTAGGTCTAGCTTTCTTTGCCTCTTCTCCCCACTGTATAGTTTTTAAATCCTGTGGTAACCCATGCCAATTGAGCTGAGATAATGCCTTGCTTTAATCCACCAGTTTCCAAGTCCTACATCTAATCACTTTTCAGACTTTGCAGGTTGATAAGAGTTTTAAAACCATGACCATGGAACTCTAATGCTAATGAAGTTTGGTTTTGTGGATGGTTTGCATGTCTGAAATTTTGTAGGCTCTTCCATCTAGTGAAAAAAAAAAATCGGTTGGCTGTATGCACAAATTCATGCAACTCCTTGTAGGCATTCTGACTGCATATTAACCATAAATATAGTTCAGACTTTTTTGTATCAAGTTCGATGTATGTTTTACTAAGATTCTTATTTTCTATCTGATGCAGAATAAAGTAGTGTGAAGGCTCAACAAACTTTTCACCCAGAGTCTGGTATGTTTGCATTACTGAGAGTTTTAGATTGCAGTGGTTGGAATGAAAAGTTCCTTTGTTACTGCTGTGACATGATGTCATGGAGGACTGTGCTGTCACACTCAACTTGAAAAACACTGTGGCAGTTATTCCAGTTCATGTCCTGAAAACAAAATTGTCTCTTATGAAATAACTGAACAATCAAATGTGTACTTGTCATCCAATGCATTCATTGTCATTTCTGCCTAATATCCTATCTGTTTTTTTTAAGGCTGAGAAACATTTGAAATGTCATTCTAATAATTCCTTGAAGTTCCCATAAACTGAACGCTCACTTTACATGCTTGTTCCATGCAGGCACCCCACCCTCTACTGAAGTGCCAGCTGGCCCATATCCATTCATGGTTGACTCAGATGATGGGAGGAAGGTGCCAGTTGTACAAGCTTACGCTTATGGAAAATATCTTGGTTACTTAAATGTTACATTTGACAAGAAAGGAAATGTAGTTGAAGCAGTTGGGAACCCCATTTTGCTGGACAGCAGTATCCCTGAAGGTATGTGGACTAGACATTTGAATTTGCCTGCAGCACTCTGCTACAATTCAAGTCTTCTTATGTTACAGACAATGTCAAAGAAGAATTCAGCTTTCTTCCTGAGCTTGCTGTTCTCTTCTGTGTAGGGTTCAGCCTGTGTTACAGTTGAATATGCACATATTCAGGGTGTGGTTTTATTTATTTAAAATCCCTGAAAGTCCTTTTGTAGGATTTCAGGTGATACACTACCTTACCATTTTGTAGAACCCAGTTTTAGCTAGTCCCATGATTATGATTTAAAAGATTACGAGGACTAATTTACACTGTTTTGCCAGTGGCTGGGTTCTTCAAAACAGAGTTTAGTGCAATATGGGAAAGTGGAAATGTTCCAGAAAAAACTTGGAATAGTCTGCCAGTGTGCAAATATAATATACAAACCCATGACTTCTTGTTTTCAGTGCTAAGTGCGTTCAGTGTTTCAGCTCTGAAACATTCAAAGAACTGGGTGGAGGAGATCCTCTTTGTTGCTTTTGTTTGTAATTCTATCTGAGCTCTGCTACCTGTTTCTTTGTCAGCTCTGTAATTACGTGAGGCTGGTTCTCTAGTCTTTGTTTTTTCTCCAGTGTTTGCTGTATGAAGTTCTGAGCTTTTATAAGAGTTTCTAGGTTCTACTTGAGTATTTGTAAAATAAATCCTTTAAAAATTATCTGTTCACAGATATTTACTGTGTTATTGTCAGAAAGGTATTAATGTAATGGGATGATGTAGTCTACATTCTCTCTGATGTCAGTAAAAGTAAAAATTCAGATACATCAGTGCTTTCATTTTATAAATGATGCACTTGCTGACACATCGATTAAGCAAATCGATTAAAACTAATAGCCGATATAAAATAGTTGTGGTATCTGTCCGTATATACAAGTATCTTTGTTTTTTTCCTGAAATAATTAAATTTGCACCTGACAGACAGATGTGCATAGAGAATTTATTTCTTTAAAGGGTTTATTCCTTGACATTGATGTTGGAACTAGTTTTCCTTTTAGCACAATGTTAAAGGGAGGAGGTCACAAACAGGGAAAAAAATATGATGTCAAATAAAGACCAACCTCACTTGTATATTAAAAATTCTCTCACTTGTCAAGGTAGGTACTAGAAACCCCATCAGTCAGAGGTTAGAACAGGACTGGGTAAAAGTATTTGAAAGTGTTACAGAGGCGATAACCTTGCTGTGGCACAGGACTAGCTTGTTCACTTGATTGTCCCATCCTGCCTTCTCCCTTTACAGGCATTGTTTGAAGTGAATATAGATGTCATTTGATTGAGAATCCTTTAGGGAAAGTGTAACATTTTAGAATCATGAACAGGTTTGTTCGGTTTTTTTCCTAAGGTTTGTATTCACTGAAGTGAGATATGTGTGATGCTTATCTTACACTTGTTTTACTTTATAGATGAGCACATTAAAGAAGAAGTGGAAAAATGGAGAGAAAACCTGGGGAATTATTCTAAAGAGATTGGAAAAACTAGTGTTTACCTGAATGGTACAAGCCAAGCATGCCGTTTCCAGGAATGTAACATGGGAAATTTGCTTTGTGATGCTGTGGTAAGATGTTTCCACCACAAGTAGCAATTAAGGGGTTAATCCAGAGCTATCAGATGAAATGCTGCCAGCCTCCAAACTATCAGCACATAGGTTCTGTGCTGCTTTTCAATACTGTGACATCTAGCACAACCCTAGAAAGACCTGGCAGAAGCAAGGCTATAATGAATCTTGCTGTATAAAGTAAGGAGCAGTTTATTCTTTGTCTATAGCCTCACAAAGAGAACAGTTTGTTAACAGCTGGCTCTGAGGCTGCAGTTTTAAGAGACATGGCATTCTGATCTAAGACCCCATTCCTCAAAAAGGAGAGCTCAGCTCCCTTGCCTCACTCCTGCCCCACTCTGGACCCCTGTTCATGGCATTTACCCTCTGTCCCTTTCATTACTCACTGGGCTCTGCTGCCACTTTAACGCACAAGCACAGATTAAAAATCTGGGTAGTTTTCTGCCAAGTTGCTGATGTGAATTGTCCCTCTGAGAAGCCCAAAAGTTGCCTGCTGAAGCAAAGCGGGGGGAAAGGCCATACACACAACCAGGCACAGAACACCCCAGCCCAGAAGGAGCCACCAGCCCCTGCAGCATTCTGCCAGGTACCGCTGGACTTCCACAGTCCCCGAACACCAGAAAGTCTCTTTATGAGAAGTCACTTCCAGTTTTTAAACTACGTGGTTTTGGTTGCTTTGCTGCCCTGCATCAGCACCATTTCCTTTGGGTGTTTCAGGGAAAAACATTCACTAATGTGAAATTTTCCAGAAAATGAACTTTGCCATAAATGTCCTGCAGTATTGCCACAAAGTCAAGGGTCAATTAATAATCATGAGTTTTCACTTAGATATGTCCCCAAAGATATTTATCCAGTCCTTGTGATTGCTTTTATTGTAATCCTTCAAATATTTCTCAGTTGAAGGGCTAATTTCCAAATCAGATTAATATTTGGGAATTCTGCGTGCAGTTCTGCTAGAATTGCAGCACCTTGCTTTTTCTTTCTGCTAGACTTTAAAATATTTTTATTTGAAAAAATGTGAACAAATGTCTTGGCCTTTTTCCAGCTTAAAGAAATTAACTCTGAAATCTTTCAGAAGTCTGTAGAATTTCTTGCCATACATTTTTTCTTAGGGGACATCAAATTCTACTTTAGTTAAATCCATGTCTCTAGATAACCACCTGCAATCATCAGGATACATTAGATGTCTCTTGATAGATACACTGATGTTTCTTCATGTCCTTTGCCTTACCAAGGCAAGTTCTACACTTGCTTTCCTGTCTGCTGACATGTGTTCAGGGGTATGAAGGTAAAAAACAGACCCTCCTGTTCCACAACCTCTAATATTTAGAGTTGTCCTGAGAAATTGAGAGCTTGAGAATTGTAGAAGGCTGATTGAATGTTTGTTCTAGATCAAAACAGAGATCCATTTAGTTCAATGATGTGTCTCCAACAGTAGCCCAAAATCTCAGAATAAAAGGTTGATAGGCCCAGGTATTTTACAAAGGACTTTAAAGGAACTCAAATGTGAAAGGGTTGTGAAATTTTTAAGAGCATTGTGTGAGCTCTTCTTTTAAATTGCCTCTGCTCAGGGCTGGGAAGTTGCAATCCATTCTTTGATTATGAGTTACAAATGTTAGCATGGATCTGGCCTCAGGGAATATCTTTAATGACTAAGCTGAAGGCGCAAAGCATTTACACACCTGCAAGCCAGAGATTACAAACACTTTGCATAGGGGTGCAGCAGAGAAGTGACCCACCACCAACAAATGACAGGAGCATCCATCCCAATGTTTTGTCTCCAGGAGTGACTGAGTGAGGATGGTGGGAGAAGAGCATACTCCTGGACAAACCTGTGGAGTTGCTGTACTCAGATCCGCCTGTGTCTCCCACCAGCTTGCAGCTCAGGGATTCCCCAAGCCAGAAGTGCTCTCTTGATATTTACTGGTTCAACCGTAACTTCTCTTCTCCAAATTTGCCCCATCTCCCTTTGCCTTCCTTCAGCCTTCACAACAGCTGGCAGCAGGGTGTTCCACCACTGACCTGCACATCTTGCAGGGACCTTGGTCTTGTCGGTGTGCAGCCTGCTGCTTCCCACTGGCTGGATAACTGCTGGAGGTCAAGTGGTCCTTGCACTGGAACACTTGGTCCCTGTCCACCCTCACATCACTCCTGACTTTATAGGCTTCTCAAATATTTCCTTCTGTTATCTCTTTACCAGGTCAGACTGTCCAAGCCTACATTCATCATTCTATGTTCAGAAGCTTTTCCGTGTCTTTGACCATCCTCATTACCCTCTGCAAATCTTTCTTAGTTTTTTATCATTTTTGAAACAAGAAAACACACAGATTACTATCCATCCTCCACGTCTTCTTCATTGTATAGGCTTCTGTCATGTGCTTCCTGTATTTCTCTCTCTGTGAGACTGAAGAATCATGACTACAGTCACCGCTGTACGGAAACCAGTCAATCCCTTCCATTATCCTAATTTATTTTCTCAGCCTTTTCCTGTTCTACTCAGTTATATCTGAGCATTAACACCGTAGGCTTATCATCCTTATGCAGCTGCATGAATACCTGGTCTCCACTTTCTTTACTACTTAGGATGTCACAAGCAAATATTATCCTGTTCTTGTATTTCGCCAGAGCCTTGCCACCATTGGAGACGTTGCTGTGCAGAGACTTTCTGATCTACTATGCCTGTTTCCTGTTCCTCCACTGTTCTACATGCCAAGACCATTCCAAATGTTAAAAGCCAACCACAGAGAAGCCGAAAAACTTAATTCCCTGCAACATATGAGAACTAGATTAATTTGTGCTTCTCCTATGTGTTTTTAATGTACACTAATATTTAATGTCCTCTTCCCTTCTCAATTCTCCAAATATGCTTAAATCATTTGTCTTTATTACAGTGATTGGAATAAAAAAATCACTTTTCCTTTGTTCAGCTGACCTGCCCTGACCATGATACAGACACACAGACTAGGGGAGAGTTTTAAAAAGCAAAATACTTATTTGGGTTTTTTAATAACTGTTTTACAATGGTGCTGAAGTTAATGTCAAAGATATAAAACCTTTCTATCTCTTTTCAGTCTCAGATTTTATTTGGTATAAATTTCCAGAGCTTAGAATAAGTGAAGATAAAATCAGTTCATACATTTTCCTTTGGTAGCTTTATGAAAATGTTGGGCGTCCAGATAAAAAATCATGGAACCACGTTTCAATGTGCATCCTGAATGGAGGTGGGATACGGTCACCCATTGACGAACAGAGCACTAATGGTACGTAAAATTACAAGATGCATGGCAACTTTATCAGCAGAAGGAATCAAGTTATGCCTGCCTGGACACAGTTTTAGTTATGGCCTTGCTCCAGTGGGATTAGCACAGCGTTTGGAAGTGTTTTCAAACTTTTTCAAATGGTTATACATCATTAGAGCACAACTGCACTCAGGCTGACATTGATAGAAGTCTCTAGCATTGTTTGTACACAATGCTTTTTAAAATTTCCCTTTCTCTTTGCTGCCTTGGAATAAAGAAAGACCTCCTACTGTACAGGGTCATCCAGTATGGTTGCTGGGAGCCTTCTGTAGTCTGCTGTAGAGTAAGTAAATTCTGGGTTTTTCTGAATGCTAAGGTTTTAACACTCTTTATTTTCCTGATACCACATAAATGAAATGTGAAAACAAAAGCTTTTTCAGTTTAGCTAAATCTTTCTGTAGAACTACTTCAGTAAATCTCAATCAATTGGAAAAATTGGCCTGACCTAGTAGGAAAAGCTGTGTTTCTTCATCTTAGGTTGGTAGTTTGTCATCTTTTTTAGTAGTATTGTTTGAATAGCAAAACATGCACTTACATCAAACTCTGATTTATTGGTCTTGATACTTACTGGATGATAAAAGATGCAGGTTCTTTGGGATATGATATATATGATTCTCACCTCTGCCTGCCCTCATTTTCTTAAATTGCATTTGCCATGTTCCTTGTCAAAAACTTACTGTTAAACAATTCTAAAATAATTCTGTAAACACATAAACAAACAAGCAAGAAGTAAACAAAGTCTCCTTCCCCCAGGTAGCATAACTGTGGAAGATTTGCTGTCTGTTTTGCCATTTGGAGGTCGTTTTGATATGGTGAGGGTAAAAGGCTCCACTCTGAAAGAAGCTTTTGAGCACAGTGTGCATAGATACGGAAGAGGAAGTGGAGAGCTGCTGCAGGTTGGAGGTACGTTTTCTTCTTTTCTCTTCTGGTTTTCCAAACCAGCTATCCCTCCTGTTAGCCTTGTTTATTACAGCTGGGAGCCTCTTTTTAAGAATGGAAGTCAAGCTGGCCATATATCTTAGCTCTGTGTCTTGTACATGCTGGCCAGCTAACACTGTTTATCCTGTGTATGTTTAACTGAGACACTGCAGCAGACACTACAGGCCACCTCTGTTCCCTTCAGCAGAGACAGTGTTCCCAAGCTGGTTCCTGAACTTCTAATGACATCAGTTTAACACTTCAGTTAACTAGAGGAAGATATAATTTAGTGTAGCTTTAACACAGAAATAGCTACAACAAACTCCAGTTTTCAGTTCTTCACTGGCAGCCTACCTGAAACCCCAGACTGGATGGCTGTGCCAGTTATTGCCAAATGTCAGTTTACCAAAATAATTTTGTGCAATTCTCTAATGATTGCTGACAGTTTCAGCGTTTGCCCAAGTGGCTCTGGAAATGCTCCAGTGAATTACTAACTATTTTATGAATGACCAGTTAATATTAAAAACCTACTTATTTCTTGAATTGCAGCTCTCTGTATGTTTACCCAGATGCGTACCAGGCTACAGTCATATTTATTCCTGGTCTCTCTGTGATGCAATGTAGATTTTATTGTTTATATAACAGAAAAGCTAAACTTCAAGGGCAGGGGCCAATACATTCCCCCCCCCCCCAATGCCTCTCCCCCCACACAGCCCAGTGATGGGGGCACTACCCCCACCATGTGATCTAGACCCTCATGTGCCACAGATACAACCCATGTCTGGCACTCTCACCAGTAAGTTACCACATTTTTAGATACCACTAAGGTAAAGCAAGTTTTACTTGCTGCCTCCTTACAGAAAGAGAGGACAATCAGTAGCTCTGGAAAGGGTTCAGGACAGAAGATCCAGAGCAGGAAGAGAGCCAGGGTTGGAAGAGCCTCTGTGTTTTGGATGAGCTTTAGTGGCTTCCTGATCTGCAGATTCTTGACAATGCTGATCTGGGGGCCTGGCTCTCCCCAAGCTTTGATCAAGGAAGGCTCACAACTAGAAATGTTGCTTCTCCTACAGCGAGCAGAAACCGCAAAGTAAAGCCCTGGCCTGGCTTTCTATTTTCAGTACAGTACCCATTACCCATAACAGCCACCAAGTTAGGCTGGCTGGCTGGCTTAAAAAAAGTGATTTCAGCCAACGAGCCAGGGGAATGAGAAAGCATGTGACTACAGAAATAAGGGAAGGTATTTTTATCTTGCAGTATCTTAATCCCATGACTAGTAATTTCCTTCTGTGGAGTAGTGATGAGAACAGACAAGTAACTGAGGTGAGACAGTGCTTCAGCAATTCTTATTCTCTTGAATTTTCTTGTATAAAAGTTCAGTAGTGTGCAAAGAAACAGAGCATTAACTGGTGTAATTCAGAGCAATACAACCTCTCAGTCACAGAAACTAATGCAAAGAATCAGCTAAAGATGAGGGAGGGTGCTGCTTCTAGCCCTATATGTTCAATAGGCACTGCAAAAAGTGACATCCCGACGTGTATTTTTGTAGGCATCCATGTGGTCTATGATCTTTCCAGAGCCCCAGGAAGCAGAGTTGTTAGCTTAGAAGTGCTTTGCACAGCCTGTCGAGTCCCATCCTACATCCCACTCCACATGGATGAAATATACAATGTGACTCTTCCATCCTATATGTTATTTGGAGGAGATGGCTATCATATGCTGAAAGACAAAAATATGGGATACAGCAAAGGTAAGTGGGATGCAGTAAAGGTCAGTATGGGCACTAATAGAGTAACAGACAAACAATTCTTAAAAGATCTTTCTATAGTATTAGTCTCAGACTTCTTGCCTCTACTGGATTAAATTTGCTTCTAATCTGACAGCTCTGGTTTTGGTTGTAGCCAGCAACTTTTTTAACTTTTTCAGTTAAATCACAAGTTTCAAAGTGAAACTAAGCCTTACCAATAGAGCAGTGCTCAAAAAGCACTTCTAAGATCACGATAAACCACAAAAGAAGCAAAAAATGCACCATGGAGAATACATCTTATTGCGTACTGCCTTGTACTGCCTGTGCACTTGTACTCATTACTGAACAATGAATCAAAGGTTCTTTAGACCTTGAATTTCCACTGTATACAAGTATTCAGAAAGACAGAATCATCACCTCTACTGCTGAAGGACACGCAGCTCAGGTGAGCAACACAGGGTGAGGGGAAAGATGACAACCTGCTCTGCAGGAATTAGCCTGCCCATCCGGAACCAGTGGGATTCTCAGGAGTCCTGCAGGCAGCAGTATGCAAGGTGCTACAGACACCATGCCAGAGAGGTAAAAAGGAAGTGTTTTATAATGCTGCATTAAGGTCCCCTAAAGTTGCATGTGAAATGTTAGAAATTCAGCATTTGTACAACCGACATGTCCATCTTCGATAAAGACAAACTAAAATGTTGAGATTACAAGAATGTAATGCTGTGTTAAAAAAACCCCAAAACCAATGTTCTAAGATCACACCTACATTTTGCCAAACTTTAATTTTGTATGTCCTGCTTCTGGATGATAAAAACACACTTTTACTTCAAAAAATATTCCTTTTGGACCTTTGTATAGACTAGTTTTTTATTTCTGCAGGTATTTCAATTCAAAATCAATTCTCACAGTTAGGACTGGTATTTTAAATCAAGTTCAGCCTACAGCTTGTAAATTTGGAGAGGCTGTAGTTTTCAGTAAATATCCATGTATGCAGAAATAAATACCCAAAGAGATAAATCATTAGGAATAATGAAAGGGAACAACTAGTAAGGTTCTTGTAAAGTCTTTCAGTATAGCAAGAGGGTAAAACTGTAACTATTGTTAAGACTGAGGACTACACTTTAGGATTGTAAGAGCTTGGATCAGAAGGGGCTTGTGACATTGCTGGCAGCTGTTACTGAAGAGGGTCTTCCACTGCAGAAACTGCACGTTATACTTTGTGTGCACACAGCAGCGCACAGACTAGAAATTCCTCTGAAAAAAGTAAAGTTAAATTTGAGAAGGTATAAGTGATAGCTTTGCCAGGTCTACAGCCCTCTACCCAAACAGGTAGGGCACTATCTCCATCTGCCTAAAACTGACTGGAAATTAGCATTGTAACAGACACAAAACAAGACAGACAATGCAATGAGAAGTTTTTTGTATTTGGTAAAATACAAGTTGCTACCAAAAATTCTGGCTACAAACCACCACAGATGATTTTCTGTGCATAAGAAACAACTCCCCACACCCCTACGCTGCCTCAATGTGTACTGATTAAGCATTGCAAGCCATAGAAAACAGTTTAAAACTTGAGCTAAAACTGCAGTTTTAGACAGGTTCTTAAAGAACTCTTAAAGAGCTTGGCTGCTGCAGAGAACACTTTTTTGTATGTTTGTTTGTTTAGGTGAACCTGATATTGAGGTTGTTTCCCGCTACCTACAGAGAATGGAGAGAGTTTACCCAGCAGTTGAAGGTCGAATAAAGTTTTCTTCTGGAAGTCTTCAAAAAGCAAGTCTTACCCTGATCTCTGCATTGTTCACTGCGACATTCTTGCACACTTGATTATTGCTCTCTATGTTTTTGTTTGGAGGAAGAAAGGAGGAGAAATGATGCTGATGAAGCAAAAAGAGAATTGTTCTCTTTCCTCTTTTCTTACACCTTACAATGAATGAGCAGTGAGATTGCTGCATGTTAGCAGTAAGCAGCCCAATCCATTGTCTTTTATCTGGTAGTGCATCAAAGCACTCTGTGCAGAGCGAGGGGGCAGAATTCGGTTTGACGTTTTAAGAAGTGAAGTGCCAGTGAATACCTACTGCTCAATCATAAAGCAATGACAAATTGTAATGGGGTATTTTTAAATTGTCAAATTCTTTTAGATGCCTTAGATAGTGAGTTAAGAACCTGATTCCAGTAAGGCAAACAAACTTCTAGAAATGGATTTATTATAGGTGTATATTCCTTTCTTTGATCTCCACTCAGGGTTAAAGTATTCAAACCTAATATTTCTACTTTGCTTCCAGTCATATTTATCATACCTACACCAATATCTGAAAGAGCTGGATAAAAGTCAGTGCCATTAAAATCATGAGGCCCATTTAACATGCAATTTTAAAAAGTTTGTTTTACTTTTGAAGATGCAGCATCTCACTTATGTTTTCCATTAATAAAGGATGCAATGAAAGCTTGATTTTGAAAAATTTTAACAAATTGAGTATTCTTCATTCTTTAATATGACCAGTTTGGGGACTGTGTCTAGAGCAAAAACACAATCTGTGACTGTGTTTCATATAAATATGCTCGATTTTTTACCTTTTCCAAAGAATAAAGCACAGGACTCCTGCCTCTTACTCTGTATCAGCAACATTCCCAGAGAATGTCAGATAGAGCCATTGACTCCTGCAGCACTGTGGCATCCTTTGGAAATAGCCAGGTAATGGGGCTTTTTACAGCATAACTTGTCTTTATGATAACTGTGGTTATACCTCAAAAGCCCATCTCTTCTATGGGAAGGCTGTGTTTAAAAAAATACAGTTGTAAATACAGGCTAATGAGTATGAAATCAAAAATCAGACTAAATGCTAAGTGTACACTTCTGATGCTTTATCAAGAAGTGATTGATTATAAATGAATGCAACCAACCATTATTTTTATAAGTTCATTCACATTGGGATTTTTGCCATCAATGTGTTTTCATGTTGTTCAATGCTATTTTAAACTCATTATCAGTGTTTTAAATAAACCTGTTTTGTTTTTCTGGAAAGCTCACTACACTCTTTTTCAACCCTGAAGCTACTTGGCTCTTAAATTCATTGCACCTGCAGATTTCAAGGAGAAGGTGTGCTAAGATAAACACTCAGTATATTTAAATTTCAAGATCTCATTCGCTTCCACATACATTGAGAGGCTGTGCATGAAAAGCTCTGGACTCCACAGCTGCAACATGACAACAAACGATGACTGACCTTTACACACTACTTCTTATGCCCTGGCATTTGATGGTTTGCCGATACCAGCCCTTAAGAGTAGTTAATTTACAGAATGGTCTTACCCAAATCAACATAAAACCAGTAACAGAGAGGGCACTTATGGACCAAACTGTACCTGCACACCAATTTTTAGAGTTGTAACAACTCCTCTGGCATAGCCAGAGAGAAGAGAAATAACAATTTTACCTTCCTTTGACAAAGAGAAGGAAAAGGTTTGCAGTACTAATACAGACAGATAGCACAAACTGTATTGACAAAGAACACCAATGCTGCATTAGATTGGTTGGTTTGTAGTGAAGGAGAAAATGGGTATTGTCTGAAAACAAAAACTGAGGAATGCCTATTAAAATATCGCTGTATTGTTCTGTGAGTAAAACTTGTTAAAAATCCACACATGAAAGTCCATTTCAAAGTCTCTTTTACAAAGGCTGGGCCAACAAATTAAGATTTACAGGAAAAATCTTCCACCCAATTTTTAAAAAAAGTTGTGAACAGACTTGCATCCTAGGATGCCAGATGTCAGGTAATCCCAGGTAAGAAAATGCAGAAAAATAAAGGCTAAGGTAAAAGTCAAAACCACTTTTCACACCCATTATTACTTTAAGAATGCTTTAGATTTGAAGGTCATGTATTAAATAGACTAAAATTACATGTTATTTTCCGTGCTCACAGAGAGCATAAAGGCCAAAGATAGTTCTGAGATTATTTGTATGCAACAGATTCAATCACATAATTTTGTTTTTTTAAAAAATAGTAAGATTTGTTAAGACAGTTAAAAATAGCGTAATGAGAGCATTCTAAAGCTTCTTCCAAATATTTTTTCTATATATCCTTTAAGGAAGACATCCAGTAATTGCTCTTTTGGTAAAGCATAAGTTGGCTGATCTCCAAGCTGCTTTATTTGATGTCATCCTGTAATTTCACACATGGAGAGATTTGGGGGAAATTAATTTGACTTTTACTGGTAACAGCTAAAACAAATTTTAAACAGAAAGTACAAATATTTTATTTACTTGCAACTGATATTAAATTTTTATGTCTTTATTGAATAAAGATATTTTTTAGAACTTAAATTTTATGTTATTTACAAGAAAATATACAAGGCAAGGTTAAAATGTCACATGTCCATTACAAAAGTGCACAGCAGATGCTACAGGGTGACCAGCAAGGTCCCTTCACTCACATCCAACTTGACACGGAGCTCGTTTCCTTCGGACCCTGTTAAACAATAAGGGCGAAAAAAATTTACTTTCTAGGTTTGAAAACGCACATTTACATAGAAAAGACTGGATTGAGCTGCAATCATTAATGGTATTTGAAAACATCCGCTTGAAACCAGAGTTAAGAGAAAGGACGGCTACTGGCTTTTAATACTATTTGTCAAAATAGGTATTTTCTTTTCCCTCTGGAAGTTCCACCTCTCCCACTCCTAACTGCTAAATACAGTCTTCTTAACAGAGCAATTTGCTGCTCTGGAAATGATAGTGGAGCGATGTTTTTTCAAGTGGATTTCTTTCCTTCCTCTGCTAGGAATGCTTCTCCCCTCTCAGCTGTCCTTTTCCTTGCATCCTGTCTGACGGACTTCCAAGGGACTGACTGCACATTGTATCAGAGTTTTTCGGCTCTTATCCTTCGACCTTGCTCACTTAACGCGTGCTGCCATCAAACACATCAAGTGACCCAGCATGTATCCACGCTGGTACGTGTAGCAGGAAATACCTTTGAGATACCAATCTCAAGAGTGGAAGCAGATGGACATCCCTGCTAATGACAATTTTCCCATTTCTCCCATCGCAGTGTTCTCTGCCAAAGGAGCAGTGCTGGAAACAAAACTTCCAGGATGCTCAGTTTTCCCTTTAAATGATGACTGACCTGAAATATTTTTTTGTTCTTCACTATAACTACAAACACATTTTGGCATGAAGCAACTCAAAAAGGACTAGTCTCTGCTGAATAGAGAGGACAGGCATTGATTCCCCCCCTGTAATATAACAGATAGCTAAGTAAGAACCAGTCATTACTTTTAAACTTCCCCATTACGATTGTTAGAAGGAAAAAATTCTCTTTCTAAATGGCTTTACAGTCTGTTTGCAGTGATTTTGGGGAAACATTTTCCAGGGCTCTAGATGAAAACCACTGCCACTCCTCCATCCATACCCTCTCCACCTTGCATTTCCCTTTTCAGTCCTGGTCCCACTGCCAAACATCACAGATGCAGCACTTGTTCTGTGTTGCTCTCAGTACATCCGAAACAGGAAAACAGCTGAAGTTCCTAGTTGAAGTATTTTTCTTCCTTTCCTCTACTGAAATCTGGGCCAGTGATTCCCTTGCTCTGTTTCCACCAGCTTCAGGCATAAGGAAAGGGGAAGCCCAGCCCTCAACTCTGCTGTTTCACCAGGAGCAAAGGTGGTATTAAAGGTCCCCTCTTCAGCAGGTGGTTATGAAACACTGCAGAGCAGTCAGGCAGTGTCACAGTTACACAGAAAAAAAGAATGGATTAAGAAGTACAAAATTTGATCTTGATTTGCATTAAGTAATCTTTTCCTGATTTGTTTTTGAAGAAAAAACATTTTACCTCATTAAATATACACAGTTATGGAATCACAGCAGGGTTGGGGTTGGAAGGTGCCTCTAGAGGTCACTTGGCCTAGACCTCAAGCAGAGCTACCTAGAGATGGTTGCCCAGGACCATGTCCAGACAGCTTTTGAACGTCTCCAAGGATGAACACTCCACAGCATTCCCAGGGCAACCTGTGACAGTGCTTGGTCACCCTCACAGTGAAAAAGTGTTTCCTGATGTTTAGAGGGAACCTCTTGTGTTTCAGTTTGTGCTTGTTGCCTCTGGTCCAGTTACTGCACACCACTGGTTCTGTCCTCTCTGTACCATACCCTCAGGGATTTACATAGATAAGATCCTCTGAGCTTTCTCTTCTCCAGGCTGAATAGTCCCACCTCTCTCAGCCTCTTCTCATTGGAGAGATGCTCCAGTTCCTTCATCATCCTCATGGCCCTCCACTGAACTCTCTCCAGTATGTCCAGGTCTCTCTTGTACTGGGGAGCCCAGTCCTGCACACAGTATTTCCAGATGTGGCCTCACCAGCACTGAGCAGAGGGGCAGAATCACCTTCCTCAACCTGCTGGTAACACTCCTGATGCAGCCCAGGATACTGTCAATCTTCTCTTCAACTTTGTGTCTATCAGGACACCCCAGTCCTTTTCTGCAAAGCTGCTTTCCAGCTGCGTAGCCCCCAGCCCATCCTGAGGTTGTTCTTCCCCAGGAGCATGACTTTGTACATCTCTTTGTTGAAGTTCCTGAGGTTCAGGAGGTTCCTGTCAGCCTGTTTCTCCAGTCTGCTTAGCTCCCTCTGGATGGCAACAGGACCCTCTGGTGTATCAGCCACTCTTCCCAGTTTTGTGTCATCATCAGCCTGTCCCATCATCCAGAGCATTAATGAAGATGTTAAACAGGACTGGAGCCACAACAAATACCTCCCTAGGTACTGGCTTGCCTCCAATTAGACTTCATTCCATTGATCACCAGCCTCTGGGCCTGACCAGTGCTTTAAATGCCACTTGTTTTTTTCCATCATCAACTGATGAAAGACCAGTGTTCCTATATATATATATATATATCTGTGTATATATATATACACATACTACTAGCTGCTGTATCTATTACTGGACACAAAACCCGTAAAGCAGAGTAAAACAGCAAGTCTAAGTTAGGTCTTTTTTTTCAGCACACAAATCTCCAGGCTACTTCCTTGTTCCCTTGGTCAGCTGGGAAACAAG